GGAGAATCTTCTTCATATAAAAGCCTGAAAATTATTGACCTAAAGGAGCTTCAACTGTATCACTGTAATAAAGTATAATATGCAGCAGTATGGTCATGCTAATTCTGGCAACTGCCTCCATTTTAGCCTTCTCAGAGCATGTCTACACACCCTAGCCCAGACTATGCTGCACCTGCTCCATCCACGCGCTGTACTGCCCAGCTGCAAGCAATTCTTGGCAGGGAGTCAAGTACCTGCATTAGGCTTGGTGCTATGCTAAGCCATAAGTCTTGAGCAGAGTTGCATAAATTAACGCAACTGCCCTCTCCTGTTTCTGTGGTCATCTTGTGCATCACGCTGTTCTTGAGGCATGGGGCTTATTTGCTCAGTGCTGTGCTAACTCAGTCTATAGTGAGTGAAACCTGGGGTTTCTGGAGTGAGTGACACCCTGTGGTTTCTGGACCAGAGCTGATACGCCAAGGGTGAGGCACTCAGGTGGGTCAGAGCCATACCATACCTAATTGCAAAGTGTCTCCTAAGCATCTCTTTTTCTTTATTCTCTCAGTCATGGAGAGGGCAAAGATCCTTATAGATCCTTACAAGGTTTGGAGAAAAAAGGCTAACAGACATTACAGCTCAGTCTTCTCTGCACTTGTGCTAACAGGTATAGGATCAGATTCATAAGCCCTGATTGACAGATGTAGGTTAATTTTATTATGCATACATAAAGTTCCACATACATAAATGGTTGGCTCTGAATGTGTGTAAGCTCCACCTCAGGACTGCACTGATATGGCAGTGCTCTTCCTGGGCTACAGCTGGCTTGTATCTAGGTAGCCAGGAGTGCTGGTGGAAGAAATTTGTGACCATTCCTACCTGAGCACGTAGATATGCTGGTGCGGGGGTAAGTTTCTGAAAGTGAGGCACAGCAGTGTTAGCTCTTTCCTCCCGTCCCCTCTTTACTTGGCCGCTTCTCACCACTTAATACTTATTTTGAGAGGGGTGGACTAAAAAGGCAACAGGACTTCAAGGACTTTCTTTTAAAAAAATAAACAATATGAGCAACAAAAAATTTGGGAGATGGAGACAACAGACTTACTAATCAGAAAATCTTCCTTCCATAGATAAAACTTACTAAGAATTTTTCATAACTTTTAATTAGGGGAAAAGAGCTTTCAGACAATTTCCATTTCTAGTACTGATATAGGTAATAGGTTTTCTTCTGAATTCTCATATTTAAACCATTTATTCTTTTATGCTTAGATATGCTTTTAATGTGTGGTGTATCACTTTGAATGTCCACATATCATGTGACATGGAAAGAGTCTTACAAACTGAGCGGGAGTAAAACAGCATGCCTATCACTTATCTTTGACCTCTAATGACGGCAGCAATTCAGACCCAGACTGAGGAGCCACGGTTTTTGAATAGCTCAAGAGGAAAGATATGGACTTCCAGAAGGCATTCAGAGCTCTTAAGCTGGATGCTTAACTTTTAGATAGTTAAGCTCTTTCCATATCAGATCCATCTTTATGGATCAGCAGGAGGGAAAGAAAGGCTGAGTCGCACAAGTCTGTCTGGGAAGATCTGCAGGCTTGCAATAGATAATGATTTGCAGAATTAAGACCTGCAGAGCATTTGAAAGTATAATACCTGTATTATTCTGATCCTGCAAAAACGTAAATGTAACTAAAAATACTATTTAAATCAACATACTTAATTTTAAGCATGGGGAATAGGCCAATTTGTGATCTTACGTTTCAGTCCTTACAGGCAAGATATCTTTGCTAAGTGTCATTAAAAATTGAGGGATTAGCAACAACACTCCAAAGTAACTGATAAATGGAATCGGTGTCTGGAATGCAGCGAAAAGGAGAAGTTCAACAGCAACTGAAAGCTGAATCTTCCTATCGGTGAGACTAAAGCAAGAGATGCATTTTCAACCACAACATGCTAAATATGCCATGCGCTTTGAGAAAGATTCCTTACCATTTGTAAACAATCTTTTAAAGAAAAATATACATTCAACTACATGAGCAGTTTCAGAGATCTGTCATAATGCTACTTTTTGCTTTTGGTGAGCTCATATGCTGAACATGGTGAAGGAGCTTAACTTTTGGAAATAAAAAATCAGTAATGGAACTTGTGGTACTACAGAACTCAAAGAAGGAAAGATTAAAAGGAGTTTTGTATCAGGAGTAAGAAAATCAAACACATACTGCTTTGTGCTCTCCTGAATATAAATTTATATCTGTCTTTTGTTCGACTGGATTCACATGTAGCGCCTAAGTGTTTTTCAAAACCAGGTATTAGAAGAAAAGAATCTTCAGTACCAAAAATGCAGATAAAATATTTGTATTGAGCTTTAGAGTAAATTAAGAAATTGAACTGGAGTATTCCATGGTGTCATCATTTGTTGTTTGCTTTAAAAACAAAGGAAGGAATCCAAAAGGATTTGGCAGATTGTTACAGAACCCTACTGATGGGGATAGTCCTGGTACATCTCACAGCCCTGCTTGCATAAAGCTGCTGCAAGAATTTAGTAGGTTCAGGCTCCTGAGTCCTACTGGGTAAAGGAAATTGAGAGGTCAAAGATGACAGTTGCTCTTTCACATCAGAATAAACCAGCTCAATACTTATAGCTAGATCTTAATTCAAACTTAACTCTGTCAGATTGGAAAGATTTTAAAGAACTGCGGAGCTACAGTTCTTTAAAAACCCAGATGTACAATCTGGAAGAGAAAAAAAACGGGTCTTACAAATCTAAAAAAGATGTAAACAATGAAAGAGCTAGTTCAAGCTGATAGGACAAAAAGGAATGTACTCAAGCTATAGCAAGTGTATTTCACATTCAATGACAGGAAAAATATTCTAAACTAAACACAAAAAATGGGAGAATGGGCAAACAAAAATCTTCAAAAAAAGAATTCTGAAACTTGACTATAAAATTCCAATATCATTAATCACTACTTCTAATCCTGCCAGACGTGTAAAGTGGGTGGCCTCATGACCACGCAAAATCTCATCTACTTTAGGACTGGACTAGCGCAGTATTAGCACTATATAATATCCATCTTTTCCTTTGGAAATGAACTTCATAAAAACAAAAGCAGAACTGCTGATACTGTGCATACTGCTTATTGTTTTCAGCCACAAAATACCACAGTCTGTAAACAAGGCACTCCAAAGGCATGCAACTCTCCTGGTCATCTAGGGGGAAAAATACTCCAAACTCATCATCTTTCTCAAGGACATAAAAAGTGTTGGAGAAACTCTTGACCTTTCCATAAACAAGCAATGCCTTTGCATGTAACATATTCATCAGTTACATATTTTGTACCCCTAAAAAAAGGCAGACCCTTTATTTTAAATAGGCCTAAAGTGTCTGCTGTTTTTCAGATTATGCATCTGGTTTGGGGCATTTCAGGTGCTGGGGAGAACAGCTCTTCTGTCTTGTCCAGCACGGCTCTGCCCTGACTTTCTGCATTACTATCTTCCCTGCCTGACGCTACTGACCAGAACTCACAATGTCTCATGGAGCAATCGGCATTTCCTTCAACATGCACGGTAGTTACTTCTAGGCAGACGTAGTATTCCTTGGAAACAGTCAGCCATGCCTACTTGTTATACTTAGTTATAGTGTCACCCTTGTCTGTAGATTGGGGACAGGATGGGACTAGTGTATTTCATAAATAGCAAGTACTATAAAATAGTTCATAAAGTCAAATAATTTCCTGTTTCTAATCAGGAATTGTGAATGCAAGTTGCATGTACTGAGCATTTAAGCTTACCTAGTTTTCCTACTCTGGAATATAAACCAGGAGAAAAGTCAGCCAGAACTTTTTCACAAATGTGCACACTATGCTTTGTGGTTTTTTTTTTAAGAAAGCAGGGGACCTTATTATTTGTGCATGAAAGTAAAGTACCACAGATACCCCACTGCCATAACTCAAGTCTACAGCAGGTATTTTTACAGCAGTTTTTGGAAATACTGCTAGAAGTGTCTTGCTAAGCTTGACTGCATAGCAGAAACCATGGGGATTACACAAACGTAATGTATACAGAACACTGCTGCCATCACGCAATTGTGTGTACTATAACTCTGTGTGTCAGTCATTCACTCCAGAAACATTAAACACAAAAAAAGGGAGTGGAGAAAGTAGCAACCTAACACTTTCAAAACCCAAATAGCATTAATGGGAGACTTCCAGCTTGAAAGTGACGCTTCCGTCTGGACATACTTACCCAGCATAACTGTGAGACGCTGAATAAACGAACAGGACTTTACCTGTGCTTTTTGCATGTCAGTAGCTTTACAAATAGTCAGTTTAAAAGATCTTTGCCATGGGCATTGCATAAATAATTTTATATACATAAGTATATATGTATATATATTATCTATGTGTGTGTGTACGAATGCATGTTAAACAAAAGCCCTAGGAAGATTTAAAAAACCCATAGCGTACTTCGTAACTTATTTTCTAGGATAAACTATATTTTTAATTAATCACTTCAGAAATCGAAGCTGTCAGTGACCTTTTAAAATGACTATACATATACAGCACACCGTTAGATGAATATTGGTTTTTTTCCCCCTCCACTGCAAGCAACGTTTAGAGAATTAGTTTTCATACTGAGAGATAATTATTAAGCTTCAATTTTGTTTCTTAAAAGTTTATAATTAGGCCTTTTGATTGTAAGCTTTTTTTTAGTTGTTAAGTCCAAGTAACCAAGCAACTATGTGCACAAATTAACCTTTTTATTACATTATATACTGTAGTAGTAAAGTTTGTTTGAAGTGCATGAATAAAAAGTTAATGAAATTACAGGAGGAACAATCTAATATAGCAATAATAGGTGCATTCACTGTGCATCTGAGAGGAGGAGGGGGGAAAAAAGAAGAGTTTTCACTCATTTTGGCCTAAAACGTGTTCAGGTTTCCAGGATTCTGACATCAGAACCCAGATAACACTGGTTAGAACCATAGGGCTTTACAATAAAAGCTAAAATATTGACCATATGATGGCAAAAAGTCTTTATTTTGTGGTTAACTTATTCTCTTCTAGCTACTCTCTGATGAAGTTGGTGGTGCTGTGGAGGATGATCTCCTTCTTCTTGACAAAGATCGTGATCGTTCAGCACTGTAGGCAACATGCTTATCATAATTTTGTATCTGAGCCTCGAGGAAATCCCTCTGTTGCTGGCTGATTGTCTGGCTAATCAGTCCAGGGAGAGCTTGAATGCTACCAATTAAAGTTTCCAGTTTAGTTTCCAGAGTAACAATTCTCTTCTCAAAATCTTCGCTTCTTTCATTTAAGTCAGAAATCATGTCATACATGATGTTTTGAGTCTGAAAGTAGAAGGATGTAAACAAAGGTTTAGAGAGACCTTATAAATATTGTTACAAGCAGCACAACTCTACAGGGGTTTGTAAATGCTTTTGCACTTCACAAAAAAAAAAAAAAAGGATATGAATATTATAACAATATCTACTCTTGTGAAATAATTTTCCTTGTAGATTCAGAATAAACTTTCTACTAAATTTGTTGAGCAGAAATGTAATATATTTTGAGTTGATGTCAAGGTCTAAATGAATTAGACAAAAGACCAGACATTTTTTGGAATTTCAGCTGCTTAGAAATGGACCGTGCTAAGCTTTGTGAACAGTCAGCTGTGTAAGCCACCAGGAGACCGAAGGCTCCAAAGCTGTGATCCATCCTTGACTCTTCTGTATTTCCTCTGGTTTTAAACACTCTCATTCTTCTAAGCAGAACACAAATGTTGTTCACCTGCTTTCTCCTTAAACTGACCAGGTTTTCTTGAACTGGCTCTAGTAAAAGCAGTTGACTGGATTGTTTTTGAAATGTAGTGCAAGGAGTAAAAACTCAATTGTATGCTTCTCTACTTCCGCGTTCCCCAATCTATCTGCCCTCTACAAAACAGTGTTTGGTTACAGCAGGTATATAGGGTGTACTTTAAAATGCCATAGTGGTCAGTAAAAATGTAATTGAAATGTGTTATTTCATAGAGACTTGGAACTGGTTAAAAATAATGACCAAATTTCTCCCTCTGATAGACTGAGACTTCAGATTAGACTTAAACTAGAGTCAAAACTGGATGTAATTCAGTAGACAAACTGATTGAAGTTTATAAACCATCCAAAGGGAATGAAAATTAATTGAATGACTGACCGCCTGAAGCGTAAAACATTTCAGTACCAGATGAGTGTCGATAACCCATTTCTCTGCATCCTGTTTCAAGATGCTAGCATAATCCTTGAAAGCAAAGTAGTCTACATTAAACAGTATCTGAAAAGTCCTCATCAGTTGCCAGAAGCTTTACACTGAAATGTATTTTTTTCAGCAACTGAAGTTGTCAGGCGGTTCTCTAACCGCCTGAGTTTAATCTTTGCTTTGCTGCATTTTAAATTGAGGAGGGTTTTACAGGTACATGAAGAGGTGTACAAGAAATCCTTAGGAAGAGCCCATTAATGCTTCTAACGTAGCCTCAGATTAAGATCAAAGTAACTGCTAAATACTGAGGTCTAATGTGAAACCTGGAATGCTATCAGCTCAGCCCTCTAACTCTCTAGTTATTAGTTTATATTAATGAAAAATCCCAAGAACAATAGACAAGCAGTTTGCAACTGAATAGCCTCTTTTACCTCATCTCAAATGGCTGAAAAAGGATTAATAAAGCCTTACATTGGCAAAGTAGGCAGCTATTATTCATTATAAAAACTTAAACAAATGCAGACCTAAATTTACTTGTCCCAAGTCACTGCTACATAAGACAACATGAATAGAAAACCAGAACCTCTAATTCCAGTCTGCATGAAAGCCTGTGTACTATGGTCCCTCACGGCACAGTCACTATCACCAGACAGGAAATCTCTTTACTAAGCAGCACTACAGTACTACGGCCCACTCACAGTTCAGCATTTACCATGACCACTGCAGTCACTTCAGGAGCTCTCAGGATCAACTTCTCAATTGTGAAATCTTTTTCCAAATGTACAAAAAAAAATAAAATATGGTGCATTCAAACTTCAGTCAGAGCGATAAACAAGATGTTTCATTCAGTAGGTGTTACCACAAAACACACACATATTTTAATTTCCTACAAATAACAAACTTGTTAACAATATTTGCATGTATAATGCATAACATTTTCACTTACAAACTCTTCATTTTGAAAGGATGAATGTTAAAACAACAGTAATTGCCTACTAACCTTTGCCAGGTCCACCAAAGTGTTGGCTTGATCATTCAGTTTCCTTTGTTCCATTTTTACACTTCTTAATCTAAAAAGTGGAACTTTAAGTCAGATTTTTTTGCTTATGTGGTCATATTAGGATTTCTAAAAAGCATGCACAAAACTTACAAGAGCAAATAACTGCATGGACAATGCCTTGAGTACTTTGTGTAAAGTCAGAATCAGTCATGTGCCTGCTACAATGAGAAGCATGCTTCTTCAACACCGCAAGAAAGGAAAGAGCAAAGAAATGTGATGTCCTTGAGAATACCATTTGCCATGGTCAAAGTTGAATTCAAAAAGGGAGATAACAATTTATCCAGACTATATGAAAGAAAGCCAAAACATTCCTCAAAGCCTCAGTATCGTGACAAGTAGATATAGGAAGAAACATAGAACAACTGTTTTTTATTATTAACGTTGTAGCAATCAAGAATCTTCCCATGCCTACATGACTAGATACAGGTATTAGCCCTGTTCTGTCGGAAATGGATTGGGTTAGCAGGTGTTTGAACCTGATGGAAATACAGTGATAAGTGAGTTTCTCATTACTGTAAGCAGAACTTCCACCTACCAGCAGCTAAATAACCAATATACTTGCCAATACATTTGATTTTCTTACATAATTTGTGAATCTAAATATGATTACATTTTAAACTTACATTAGACATTCCTTTTCAATGCGCTATTTAAACTACAGCATTGAAAAACAATGGAAGAAGCAGCAAGGGTCTATTTTTTCTCTTTGATGCCTACCTATGTGCATTATTATTAGTTATGCACATTCTTTGAAAGACATATACATGACCTTTCTTATGTGTTCCCTGAAACAAAGTCCATGTTTTTCAGAATAACTACTAGAGGAGTGGTTTGTAGATGTGATTTTCACAAATAAGCCATTTCTGCCTTAAGTACGAGTCATTTGTTCAACATTTCCCAACAGAGAAATACTTGGACATTCAATGACTTTTCTGGTGGCTCTTCTAAGCAGGAAATAGAATTTTTCAAAAACAACATATCAATTTATAAACAATGTGTGATAAGATACCATGCAGTCTACTAGTATGTCAAGGGCCAACCAAGCTAATAATTTGGTTAGCTGTCAAATGAAATGTGTTTGGCAGCATTTTGTGGCAGGTGGGTTGCTAATGCATACTCTGCCCATTTCTTTGTGATGGTGTTACTTAGAAAGCTAGTTAAAAGAAAGCCTTCTTGGAGATATTCCAAAATGAGGAAGTTTCTGTTCATATCTTTAGTTACCGATCATTTCCCTTCACATCTAGGCTAACCACCATGAGAAAATAAGTTGTGAAGAGTGACATATCTTTTAAAACACATGGAAATAACTCTGTTAAGGTAGAAATCAACTTTTCACATAAAATTGACATTCCAGTGGCTTGTTACTGGAATGTCATATGCTCTTCTTTCCCTGGAGGCTTCCTTCAGAGCACAACATGCAGACTGTAGGAATGGTGCTTTCAGAGGCTATGAGCTGGAGCTATTCTAAAGCAAAAAATACGGAGGAGTCTCCAAGGTATGGAGTTTTATCATTACAGTCTCAGAACAGATTAATTACTCAAAGGTAAGCATGTAATGATTTGACTGGAGAATGATAACCCTAGTGTTTTGGTGAGCATCTCTCAAATAATTTGCAGAATATGTGTTTTCTGCTTTTCTTAACATTCATTGACTCATCTGTTTGCTGGTTAGTATTTTAATTTTAAAATTCCAATAAATCCATTGTTACTGTAGCAATACACGTACCAGCTGACATCAACATGATAATTCCTCATGGTAAGCAATCCAATACCTATCACAGACTGTAAAAATGTATCTCTAGGTAATGGCAAGTCTTTAGCTGCAGCAGCCGGATTTAAAGAAAACTGTCAGACTTTTGTTCCTAAATTCATTAAGAGAAAATATGAAACATCTTGATTTTATGAACTTCACTTATCACAGCAAAAGATCATGATTCTGGATTGCGTTTCCATGGCAGCAATCAGACCACTGAAGTTCACAAATAAAGACTCTATTTTTTGCATGCAGACAGTGGTAAATTCTGCAAATTTAGAAAGGAACAGCTTATACAACTTACTTCCGAGCTCTATTTTCATTTTGTTGAAATAAAAAGACAAAACAAAAGAAAACAAACTGTAAAATATACTAAAACAACCAAATGAGCACAGTGGGCTCGATTCAGCAGGTGGGAGGTTCTAGGGAGTTGCTACTTCTTTCAATCAGTAACTGCCTGAGGTGGAGTCTAACTCACTTGCACTCATGATAAAGGAACATGCAATAGCTTCAAGCCATCCCATTAACTATCATCTGTAGATTTTCTTATTCATACAATACATAAAATGCCTTTTAATAGTATAATTTAGAGTGATGATTTCACGTTCATCTTATTTAGTGTGCATGAGAAGCAAAAAAGACCCAGACCAGCTGAAGGCAGTTTTAGAGCTGTGACTGTGAGTTTGAGACTGTTATCATGATCTACTCTGTTTTCTTGTATAAAACTGGCCCAGAAACTTCTCTGCTTTTATTTCTGTCTCCAGTGAAATGGCTGGGAAGGTGAAGGAGGAGGACCAATAAAAACCTAAGAATCCAGAAAGATGGAAAAGAACCATATACTACCATGAGTCACTTGAGAAAAGTTCAAAGATTCAAAGGGAGAAAAAATAATTTGCACCCTTCCACTGTGCTACAGCTGGAAGAAAGCAAACTGCTAGATCAATGTTTTCATCCATGGCACATTGTTCTGCATATTGAGAAAATTGTCCTTTTGGGTTTTTTTTTTTTTGCTTAAATACAAAAGTTTTGCGAATGGGATGCAAAGCGCTAAAGGACAGAGGGAAATGCATCATTAACATAGCTGTTCAAAGTGTGGCTGGCACAGCTAGGAAAAAATTACTGCTGCCACCTTCTTCACCCCACCTGATTAATGAATTTTTAAGGCAGGTGCAGAACAACACTTTACATCCTGTGAAGCTCTTCTGGGCTTGAATGATATATAAAGCTGCCGATCGAGCCTGATGTGCTTTTTAGATTCTTCTCTGAACATGTGTGTGCACACACACACAGACACACACACACACACACACAGACAAAATAAATAGCAAAGTTAAAATGTTAAGGAATAACCTTTGCAATCAAGGATTCAAGTCCAGCAAAGGATGCACAGGACATGCCATACTCTATCCCAGAACCCCTGCCACTCCTCTCCGTCTCCCAATCCTTTAAACTAAGCAGGATGACCAAACTGGGAAAATAGACTTCTTATATCCACATAAAAATGCCTCAACTTTTGTCAACTTTTTATTCCTTCAAGTATTTCTGCAATAGCACAGTAACATTTAATCCTGCAAACCTGCTAAATATAATATAGTAATCAAGGTTTATAGAATACTTCATATCTTAAACTTAGCTACCCATTGCTTTAAAACATTGCTATGAAACAGAGAAACAATGACTGTTAGCCTAAATTTAATAGGAAATATGATAACGTGGCCTTTCCTTCCTGTCTTTCCTGCAATATGACACATAGGTATTCTTTTCACGATGGATGCTTCCCTCACATCTCCTCACAGGTTGGCTCAGACACAGACCCACACTCAAAAGTTATCAAAACATCAGTTTGAAATTAAACTTACTTAATTTATCTCATCTCCCCAGTATCTCATGGAAACTAATTTTGTAGGCTGTACAAATGGCTGCCTCAGGCTGGATTGGGACATTGAATAGAGCAAACAAATAGTGGCATGGGTCCTGCCACTTCTTAAGAAGAATCTGTGGTTCTTGGGGACAAAAGTCTCTTTTTTTCTCCCGTGTAGTCCAAGGAAGACTAACTGAGCCATTGTGCAATTCTGCTGGTTTTGATGTGCTTTATGACAAATATGTATTATGAATTTTAGATAAATACTTATAGTCTGGCAATACCATAATTCAGCTTAATCGTACTACTAGTTACAGTTCTCAGGCTTGTTTTCAACCCCTTAAGATTTCAGGAGAGGGGAAGAACTCATGTGAATCATGCCAGAGGTGTTCAAAGGTCACACAATGACTGTTGGCATATAATCCCATTTTCTAGAACGGATGTCAGGGGTCACAGCTGACATACCAATATTTGATTTTACATGCTGAGAACATATGTTGGAGAGAGGCAACTAATTGCTGTTGGGCTGTACAATGACGCTTGATGCATATTCTTTTCATTAAATACTACATACATACTCATAGGCTCTCTTCTATCACATCATTCTGATTTTAAATTATTAAAACGTCTACTACAAATGAAACTTTTTTTGTTTTCTTCTGTCTATTGTAGCTTGTATCTTACTACCCGTAAGCAAATGTGTAACAACAAAGGATAGTCTCAGTGGCAAAAGATAAAAAAAGTCTTAGATAATTCAAGAAGCCTGGGAAACTTCTAAAAAAAATATACACAAGTTTGATTTACCCCATATTGGACACACACAGCCAGCATACTTTTTTATTTTTTTGTGAACAGGTAGTATAGTAAAACCTTATCTTTGTCTTACTCTTAGAGAAAAATCAACCTCAAGAGCAATGTTCTATGAAGGGGGAGGAAGGGGGGGGAGGGGAGAGAAGGGAGGGGGCAGGATGGGACACGGGGATGTAGAGTAACTATGACAGAGAGGGAAACTAAGAGAGAAAACACCTGGAGAGGAAAACCAAAGCAAAATAGTACTTACTGATGAATAGCTTGCAAGAATTTGCGTTGATGTTTCCTTACTTTCGCATGGTCTATCTTTTTAACCAGTTTTGTGTTTTTATAAATTAACCATGTTTCCCTGAGTACATTGGCCGCTGCATTTTTCACCTGTTTAATAAAAGAAAAACACCAGGCTGACAAAAGTAGCATTATGTATGTTTTCTCTTTTCTGGTATAAACTCTTTCTAAAGCACTTAAGACCCTGCCTAACTGTGGGAAGTGGGTACATCAAGAAGCTGCAGCACTGAGGGCAGAAAGCAATAACTAGACCAAGGGGACTGCTGAGCAATTTCTGTGTCACTTACAAACGTGATATTGGGACCAGCTCTCTTTGCACTGGGGAATAATTTGTCCCTCTTTAAAGAGTTAGCACTGTTTGGTGTTTATGGCAATATAAATTACAGTGAGGAAATACTAATGCATTATCTGTATGGTAATTAACTAAATGTATTTAATAGGATCATAAAATTTCTCTCTTTCTTGTTCTATGGTTAGTACCTCTTAATTCTCTTAGCAAGTCTCTTAAATGTCCAGACCTGTTTGAACATACTTTTTTTCTGGTTTTGTTTACATTTTTATTCTTGTTTCTTTTTTACCATTCTCTGAGGAAATGAAACAATATCTTGTCAATTAATGTGGCCAGTGTTCTGTTCCATAAGTGCTTTGAATTTTTTTTTAAATGAGGCTTTCCATAAAATGTTAAAGGCTTTCCAAGATTTTCAAGAATGCTTGAAAACAACAGACAAAGAATTTCAATGCAATGTTGATTAATGACAGAATGACTAGGTTACTTGCAAAGGAAAACTGTCGTTATTCATCTTTATTTTCTCTCCCTCTAACTTTATATCATGCCAGTCATGGCAGCATCAGAGCTAATAGGGAAAGGCATCGCAGGAAGGCCATGCAGTAGCTCTTCCCAGCAAGAGGTCCCCACCTTGTACCTGTAGAAGTGTTGGAGAACCTTGGTCCTGACTTCAGTGGAAGCACAATCACATTTTAGAGACCTCCTCATAATCTCTACCTAGTCCTTGCGTTTCCACAAGGTATGGCTATCTTCAGGCTGTGAGGAAACCTCTCTAGGTCTAGTATCAACAAGACCTTAACTGACTTAACAGGACTGTAAATCAACAAGCTCAGATAGACACCTCGGCAGACACCCTTTATACCTATATAAGAACTGCCTCCCCACTCACTCGTAGTCTTTCCCCACAGTGACTGCTTAGGGGAGATACAGGCTGTTAGTGGTGACCAGCATAGAAACGAGGGAGCCAGCACAACCAGGGCGGTGTGCTGAC